AAATCCCTACGGGATCTAGCCTGTTGATCTCGATGCTGTGTATCTACTAAATCTTTCATCCTATTCGGCAACACTCTGCTGAAAACTTTTCCTGGTACTAACAGTGTTAAGTTCCCTCTGTGGTTTTCACATTTGCTCAGATCTCCTTTCTTTTGTATCTTGATGACATATCCTTATTTCCAGTCTGTCGGTCTTCGTTGAGTTTGTCAGTATCTAAAAGAAAGGCTGTATTAAACCATTGTAATTCTGTTTATCCAGTTGTCCAGTGCTTCTTTAGCTTCACTCTTATCTTGGCAAACACCAGGTGGTGATATGTAGCTATATTAACTCCCGTCTTGATTCTCACGTCTTCTATGTACCTTCTGAATTCGTTAGTTATGCAATTATGCTTGATCTGGTTCTCTGTACTATCAGAGCCATGTAGCTTTATTTTTGCTTTTGTGGCGGAATTAATGTCACTTATAACTTTTTTTAGATGTACATTTGTTTTCAGATCTCGCCATTCTCGTTGCTTTTTCCCAGTCCATGTCGTCCCATGATATCTTCATACTTGGTTTTGTCCATTCCGACTTTGGCGTTTAGGTCTCCTGGATACTCCTCTACGATCGACTACAGCCTGTCATACAACTGGTCTTTATCGTTGTTACGTTCTTCATCTGTCTATCCAATGATATACAGAAGAGAACTTGTCTCGACCTAGATTAAGACCTTGACACTAAGCTAACTGGTTTAACCTTAAGGCTGAAATGTGTGAGTTCGAATTAAGATTAACTGATTTAGGTAGAGAGACAAAAACTATTTTATAACTTGATTGGTCGGCAAGCAGGAGGAAGAGACGACGAGTCAACTGGAACACTACTCGGTTTATTCTAGATTATGATTCTCAATTCAGATTAGTATAAAAAGATACATGAATAAATAGATGACTAACATGACTACAGCTCACAAACAATTAGAAAAACATAAATATGTCCAAACTGGGCATTAGGTTAGAAAAGTAAAGTACCAAAGACGACGTTTAAATTACAGTAGCTCTGGACCAGAAAAGGTTATAGCAGTGAATTGTACATCAAACGAAAGGTTACAGTTGATAGAACAAATTTGGGACAAAACTAAATATTGATGCTTTGCAAGGTTTGGATTAAATGAAATAACGTCCCCCAAAAATAGATTTCGTTGTTTATCATGACTTGTTTGTTTCTCTGTCCACATCAATTGTTTTCATTCCTATCATTGGTGGGTGCACAGCACTGTATATTATTCATTGTGATCCTCTCCTTTGTTTTGAAGGACTCTATCCTGATGATAATTCTGGGTGTATGAGATTCCCATCCTACAAATGCTTTCCGTGCTTCTTTTGACAGCTTCAGAGCAACTTTTTGCATGTGCAGAGCGTTCTCTTCGTCACCAGAGGATAACAGCATCTCTTCCGAGGCTAATCTTTTCTGTCCAGCTTGAGTCCATTAGGTTTCACTTATCCTGAGCACCGCCAAGTTACATCTTCATTTCCGTAGCTATTTGATTGGTCCTCGCACATTGTCCGGACATTCCATGTACTTATATTAATTCTTGCTCTCTGGTTGTTAGAAGGAGAATCGGCCTAGTAACTCTCAAGAAATCTGGGCTTTCAAAGTTGTATTCTACGGGATGAGGTTGCTGACCCTATGTCTAACCCTCCTTTACCCGGGTCGAGATCGGCAGTTGCCCTAGTAGAGCTACATGCAGAGTTAAGTATCAAATTGGTCCGCCTGAAATTCTAATTACTAATAAAGTCAGCTACAAAGCCGTGTCATCGTGCTAACAGGCATGCTAATAATGACGATACTGATAATAAATGTCTATTTTATATTTGATTGTAAATTCTTCATCTTATCCAGTCTCCAGATGTTCAAGCCATTGTCCTCCACTTTTGCTTTTCTGTTTGTTATTGTTGGCTTAGCATTGGGCTTAGTATATTCCTAGTAAATTAGACATTCATTTTCATAATGGATTCTGCGCTTTAGACCTAGCATTTTTCAAAAAAGCCATCTCTGTAGTATGAAAACTAATCTAGTGATTCATCATTTTGTTATGTAATTGATTTTTAAGATGCTAAAAGACACCGGATTGTAAATGTAGGATCCATTGTATATGTGGAACTTCTTCCCACATATAACAATAGGGGTACTTCCTTTTAGCTTAAGAAGTGGTGATTCTGAAATTACATTACGAAGGTTCAAATAAACTATTTCAACACAAATTAAGGCACCATAATGCGGAAACATCACTATGAACAGTCCATTTTGGTACAGAGAGATCGGATTGATCTTTTTATACGTTCTTTTCGTCATGGCTTTTGATCTGAAACCAATCTTTCCAGCTATTTTGTCACCGTTAAAACCAAGTCTTAGAAGGGCTGGCTTTTTCTTAACAGTGATGTTTTCCATTTTTTTCCTTTTAATTTCATATGTAGTTATGAACTTTTGAGGGTAACCGTTATCGTATGAACATCCTACTATTGTTGCTTCCTACTCCATCCTATATTTTATTACTGTTGAGAAGCTTTATAACCAAATAATTTTTGTCACTTATTGGACAGAAGCTATTGAAGTTTAAGTATAATTTTCTTCAAATATCTTTTTGATAAATTTGTCTTTTCAATCGCCCATTCGTATCACGCATATACCAAGGTCTAGAAAATGAAACAGGTTGGAATTGTCTTATTCTATTGTAAATCCGGAGTTCGAGTGTGCTCTATTGAGGAGTTTCAGTACATGAGAAGCATACCTGACATACAACGTTCTATCATTGATTACTGGGTTCATTGTTGTCTGTCCTAGGTTTCCCATAAAGATATATGACACGATTAGACGCAATGGACTACCCATAGCCACGCCATCAGTTTGACGATAATAATGACATTCAAAATTATCAATGGGAAGAACTCTATGAAATCATACTAACCATTAAATACTCCTTCGCTGCCTTGGACTTTTACTTAAAACATTGACTGAAAAGCACTCCACAAATCTTTTTATGAGTAGTATGCTACAAAACAACATGGTAAAATCTACCTCAATGCGTGTAGCAACTTGCTCTAGCGTCAACAAATTCTCGGAAGTTATGTTAAACCAAAAATAGGACATCGACGTGCTGGGAAAATTTATTGTTGGTAATGAGTGGAACAAATTTACATCATTTGTCCCGACTCAATTTTTCTGTTCTACCACTCATACTGACGGAACTTGACATCTCAAAGGATGTCTTGCTATGCATATTTGATTATGATACCAAACACGGTTTAAATGAATAATTATCAAGTATGAGTTACGTATTATATCACTGCATACGGATCTGTAAATCTACCATACCATTATAAACTTTCCATGTTATAAAAATACCGATTAGCAACTTATTTCATTGTTAAGAAAATTATTCGATATGCTAATAATTAAAATTGTGTCACATTTTTTCTTCGAGTACTATTCACTGCAACCGTTTAGTAATTAATGCCTTTATTGTAATGTTCATTTGACCCTTTTGGCAATAGAAACTTTAATAACTGATTTAACAAATGAGGTAGTTCGGCAGGTGTTCAGCATCATCTCTTTGTGTACTGACAATTCAATAACTATTGGCTTTATAGTGCGATTTGATGAGTGACTTAATTGTTTGAGACTTCATCTGGATAACCTGTTACATATGAAAATGATACTAAGTTTCAGTTTTTATTTTATGAAAACTGCATTTAGGACACGTTTTGTAAAAGAAATATTATTGGCTTGTCTCGCTTCCTATCAGTATATATAGCCTTTAGAATGTCTCCAAGCTAGTCTACCCATTGATCACTTGAAGTAATGAAATAGTTTGAGTCAAAGGTTAGTACTGTTTTACTCATCCAGCCTTGATGGATTCTATAAAAAATTTGACCTCTCAATTACTTTTCTTCAACGATGTAAGTTATTCCTAAACGTAATTACCCACTATTTTTTAAGTAGGAATTAAAAGTTTAGTGTCATCATACCATGATCTTTTTCCTCAAGAAAATTCACGAGTTCATGTATAAATACTGTTACATTTCATAATAAATATATTTTTGTTATATTCCAGTGAATAGAAAAATTGTGTTTTTGATGTGTTGCGACTTCTTCGGAGTAAATAAATATTTAAATTAAATTAACATGTTTCCTTTGTACTATTTAAACTTGTTTTAATTTAGTTCGGTTATTTATTTACTCCGAAGAAGTGGTTTGCATTAAGTCACGAAACGTCAGAAATACAATTTTTCTACTCATTCGGATATAACAAAAACTATATTTATTATTAGTTTTCTACCCAATGCTCAATTTGTATGAAACTACCAAGTCCAACCTTGGCATTGATACATATAAACCGTCATATCTCCTTTTGTTAAAAAGTTTTGATTACGGCCATACTTTTTTATTGATATAATGTAAGACAATTAGCAATCAAGTCAGCAAAGTTTGACATTCTTTTAACGATTAGGGCCAAGCATTCTGTCGTAATCACATTTTACCTTCCTGGTATCAGTCCAATCATGATCACCAGCTCGAGACTTTAGTGCCTATGCTTAAAAATTGATCATAGTCTTCGTACGTTACATGCGAATCTATATTGTTTAAATTATATTTATTATTCTGTAAATCTATCCTTCCTTTCACAACGGTAGAATCTACGTTTTTTTCCACAAAACATTGATTCTACTTTCATTCCGTTACTTTTATTTCCGATCTCCTCTCTTGGCTTATATATTGTAGTCGATATCCCTTTGTAAAAGGTATCACGGTATAACTTTGCATTAACTATTTCACAGGTTACGTTAAGTCATTAGTTGGTTAGTTACTGAGTAATCTCTAACCAATTTTCTTATCATTCAACCTCAAATCACACATTGTTTTAAGTTCTTAGATTAATTATCTTCTAAAAGTTTGTACTTTTATGGTTTGTGTTTCAATGTTATTTTAGTAGATTGATTTCGTAAATGTTGATTTTGCATACAGATTATTTTGGGATTTTTCACATACAAATTCTATAAATCAACTGAAATACAATGCTCTAACTTTGCTTACGGAGAAACTGAAAGTTCGCATGGATATCATGGTTTTACCAGTGACGCGGATATGCTCGATGCGTCGGGACCAGGACCTGTAGATCCGGATACACCTGTCGCCCACTCAAATTTTGATTACCAAGTGGGTAATTACCGTGCAGGATTAGGTGATGTTTATTCTGCAGACCCAATGGGTGGTTATCAACCTTAAAATCGTGTAAAGACAGCCATTTATTTGTTTTGAAAAGTATTTGTATCCTCTCCGGAGCACATCCTTAATTTTTTTTGTACCTGTAAGAGTTTGTTTTGTGTTATTCTGACTGTTTCCTTCTGTTCATTTATATCATCACTATGTCTTGTCATTCATATTTGATAAACTTCACTGATATTTAGCATACATCCACTACTAACTATTTGGCTGTAATAAATTTATCTCGTTCAGTACTTTCTTACTTATATTTGCACGTTTCTGCTTGCCTCATATTAGTTACTCTTCTGGTTTTTATATAATCATAATTGTCCAATAATCATTGTTGTTTCTTCGGATTGTTTAGACAGTCGTATTCTTGTCAACCAAAAGATAAACGGCTCCTTTAGGTTTCTCATTTTCTAATTTGCATGAATATTCACCAGACGCTGTTGTCAGAGAACTCACCATAAATTATTTTGCAGTTGTATTATTTGTTCGTCGGATGAATAATTAGTTTCCTCAAAGTTTCGTACATCGCAACTTAACGTTTGAAATTCATAATTGAGTTGTCTGTTAGTTATTATTAGGTAACTGTTGACAAAAAGTGTTCCTTGGTATGTAAGTGCCACAAATTTTGCAAATGAAAAGCTAAATACAGGTTATGCATATATACACGGCATCCATTTGGGAATCATAGGCAATAGGACTTCTGCTTACAATGTGCAAAGTAACTTGCTTGCATATTTTTTCCGAAACTCCTCATTGATGAGAAACTTACTTCCATTAGCTCATCTGTGGTGGGATAATAAACTTTTAAATAAGTATGGAACGACTGTCGAGCATATCGCTAATAAATAAAGCTTGGATTAGTATAAAATATGTAGAGTGGGTGGTCGACGTCTGGAGAACTACCTATTTCTCGTCATTACTGCATATTTTATGTAACTAACTGACCCATTTTATTCACGAAGGTTCAACATAAATATGAATTCCACAAGCTGAACTTCTGTTCGGTTTCACAGAAATGTGGTTATCTTGGTTTTTTCTCTATTTCCTGTGTCAAATCTACTCATCCAGTGTAAATTAATTTAGTTGCCTTTGAGCTTCTGCTAGTTACACAAATTCTAAGGTTCCATAAGCAAAACACATATCTGGGACCTTCATTAGTCTGCACTATCGACCAACAATTGTATACACCTTGTAATCTTTGTAAATAAAGATTAATCAACTGTTCAACGTACCAGTTGTCAATTACAGTCGACTGGGTTGTTTTTAACTGCATGAAATTTATGTATTTGTTAAATATTTTGCAAGATGACAGCAATAGATCGTTCAGTAAACTGACATCAAGACTACTGTTTTCTGACAGATGTTCGAAACTGGTGATGTAAAGAAAAACTGTTCATGCATTTTTCACATCTCTGTCGATCGCAAGGCAATACTACTCAACACTCATATTCCTCTTTTATGTCTGGCTGGGAAAGTGGAGTATTGTAAAGTCCGAACAATCATGTGAATTTTCTTCTTTTGATCACAAATTTTTTAAGATGTGTGAATAACATAGTGATGAACTTGGCATCTGTTTCCCAAAATTAAACTTACGACTAGTAACGTATTCGTCTTCACGATGTTATTTTGGGTAGTGAGTAGCATTGATGACCAAGTCTCCAACTTCCCGAAAAACGTTAACCTGCATTAACAAGATAGTCCAAAATGTGAAAGAAGCAACTAGGTGCGATCCGAACTCTGAATCATCCTTACTAGACCTTATATTGACCTATTATGTGGATGACGTAACAAACCTCGCTTACATCCCATACTTAAGCAAAAGCGATCATGCAGTTCTAATCTTTGACATCCATATAGTTGTCAAAAGTAAACACGCGTCAGCTCAACCCCGACATAACGTTCGGAAAGTGAATGTAGAAGATATTATACAATAGAGCCAGAGTCCCCAGTCGAAACAGCATGGTTGTAATTCGAAATTTGTACCACATCCCTTGGACTACACCAAGGGGTCCGAGAAACTCCATCATGGTTCAGTGGGGAAGTCCTCATCATTCTCCGTAAGAGGAGAAGAATGTGGGGGGGGATTTGCGTTTCTGCGTACTGATGAGACGAAATCTCAATATTGAGAAACTCGAAATATTTGTGCCTCGCACCTCCTCAATTCTAGGTTGTACGAAAAAACTTAAGGAGTCTACAGAATGCCGTAAATGCTTGTATTCGTACGTAAAGCAAAGGACTAAGTAAAGAGGAAATATTCCAGCACTATGTGAAGAAAATAATGCTTCATCATTAGTGGAGGTCGAATATGGTAAAGCTCAGGTATTCTCAAACTAATTTAGCAATGTATACACCGTAGAAACACCGTCCCCGTTAATGCATACAAATCCCTTCCAAATACAATTCATAATGTGACCATTAAAGAACTCGATGTCTTTGGTCTGCTAAATAAGTTTGATATAGGCAGATTCACGAAACCGATGAAATGCGTTCTAGGTTAATAAAGGAACTAGATAATTTCGTTGCGAACCCCTTAATTATATGTTTTAATCTATCTGTAACCCAGAGTCGACTACCAAAAAACTGGTAGGAGGCCGTTGTACGTCCTGTCTTCGAAACAGGTGTAAAACACAAGCCTGAGATCTACCGACCCGTCAGCCTAACCAGCGTAGGTATAAAAATTTTGGAGATGATCATTCGGATGGAGTTGTATACGTTCTTCGATGAAAGACGGATTCTTTCTGAAAAGCAACATGGCTTTAGAGTGGGTTATTCATTTCTCACTAACTTATTAGTGGCTCGTTCAAGTTGGTACACTCTGAATGACCAAAAGTCACTTATAGGTGTAGCCTACATTGACATCGGCAAGGCTGTTGACAAAGTTCCTCACAACCGACTGTGATATAAGTTAGGGAATGTCGGAGTCAGTGGCAATTTACTAATTTGGATAAAAGACTTTCTAGTTGGGCGCCAACAAATAGTACGAGTGAACTCCAAGCTGTCTAGTTGGGAGACTGTGCTCAGCGGAGTGCCTCAGGGTACAGTTTGAGGGCCAGTGTTATTTCCCTTGTATGTAAATGACCTTCATCCTCCTCTATAATCATCCGTCTTGTTATATGTCGAAGATGTTGAGATATGGAGAGCGATAAAAAACAAAGGTGATAGCTTAGAACTCTCAAATGACCTGGAGAAACTATCTGAATGGTCTCAAACTTGGCAGTTGCAGATGAATACTTCCAAGTGTATTGTGATGTATATTGGTCATCAAGGTACAGATACGTACATAACGAATAACACTGAGCTACCTGTTGACCAGACACACAATGACTTAGGAGTCACTGTCAGCCAAAACTTAGAAACTACTGCACACTGCCGTGAGATAGTCGCCAAAGTTTTTAGAGCCTCATCGTTAATACGTAGGGCCTTTAGACATGTCGACGCTGAAACCTTTTTGACTTTGTATACAGTATTCGTGCGTTTCAAACTTGAGTATTTCCTACAAGCGGCTAGCCCCTGCTTAAGAAAGACTGAGCTTTTAGAAAAGGTTCAGAGAACATCGACTAAGCTGATTCCGGAAATAACGAAGTTCCCGTATGATGCTCGACTAGCTAAACTAAACCTATTCCGATTGTTATATTGAAGAACCAGAAGTGACATGATAACAGTTTTCAAATTACTTAGTGATAAATTTGCATCTAATATGGCCTCATTTTTCTTGCTTTCTAAAACAAAGTTTACAAGGACACTCCAAAAAGTTCACAAACTCAAGACAGACTACTTGTCAGTTGACTATAGACTTGTAGTGACTCACATTTATCACGAGAACACGACTGGTTTAATAAAAACAATTATTATTATAACCAACTGTACCAGTGTTTGTTTTAATGTGCTTTTGTTTGACTGTGCTAATGACAGCTATTTTGTGCTTCCATTCTGATACTCACACTTTTGGTTGTGACTTCGCGCGAATTCGGTTACGTTCTGTAACCAAGGTTGTATCCTGGCACGATCTCGGTATCCTTTCGATACCACGAGATCGCCAGCAAATATATATCTCGATATGGTCTATTAATTGCCTTGTGGTATTTGGCTTCTCGGGGTTTTTATGGATCTATTTGGTTACGTCCAACCTTCGCCTTCTGATTTATCTGGCATGTGTTTCTTTGTAGCGGTGTTCATAGTGAATTTCGACTCGACGCCACGCTACAGACTTTCCCATCGAATCATCAACGAGCAGCATTCATCACCTTAACACATGATTGAGGCTCCATCAGTCGACTATTTCAAAAGGCAGTTCGACCAACTGAGAGACCACTACTGTCAGGGCCACTTAGCCTCCTGTCCTTTCGAAACCGAAACTGGTAAATCCGTTTGGCAAGATTTTTTATGAAAATGTGTACAGTCCGCATGAGGCGAGTGTTTTTTAACTTACGTAGCACGTTTCTTTCGAACTTCCTGCATTTAACTGTTTAACATCAATTAGCATAACCACCACAGTTTGAATAGGAATCCAAGTTTCTTTAGTCGATCGTACTTCTCTTTAGGTTCAAGACGTGTCTTTCCGACTGTGTATCAGATACAGACTCTGTATGATCTAGAATGTACTTATTAGTATTAGAATTAACTAAGGAAAGTGGAACGGACCCATAAGAATTCCCTATGATATTGACTACCTTCTCAGGCACGCCGCAGTGTCGAAAAAACCTCCATAGTGTTGTCCAGTCCACGCTAATAAACGCTTTCTCATAGTTAATGAACTTGATGTAGAGTGGTGAATTCCATTCAATTGATTGTTAAACAATGATCCGTAGTGTTGTAATTTGGTCTGTATACGATCGACCCTTACAGAATACAGTCTGTTGTTCTCAAGTTGGGTGTTCACGGATTCCTTTGTTCTGTGTAACAACACCATGTTCAAGACTTTCCTGGTATTGAGAGAAGAATGATACCTTTGTGGTTATTGCACTAGCTGATATAGCCTTTCTTTGGTTTCTTGATCAGGTGCCCTTCTTTCCAGTTTGTTATTACTTGTTCATCATCGCAAATTTTGCTGAAGAGAATGTGAATACACTTACTACTACTTCTGATTTCAGCGCCTCTGCTGACGATATTCCTAAAACCGCTACCATCATTTTGATCAGACACTACGAATTTTTGCATAAGACTTTTGGCCTAAGAAATGCTGTACAAGTTTTCCAGGAATTGATCAATGACGTTTTTCGAGGTTTTTTCGTGTGCGTTTATTTAGACGACTGCATGGTCTCAAATCCGGACAGAAAAACTCATTTCCATCATCTTGACCCTGTTCTCAAACGAAAGCATTTATGTAAACATTCAGAAATGTCATATTGGAACCGATCCCCTAGATTTTGTCGGATGTATTAACAATGCTCAAGGCATCCGACTTCTGCAAAACGATACGGCGGCCACTTCGAATTACCCCCAATCAGGAAATTAAGTACGTTCTACGGCTTGGTTA